CTGGCTGCTGGTACCTTTGGACTTTCCTTCTGAAGCCTGCGTATCCCAGGCAGAGGCTAGCTAGAGGCTTTGCATTGGGATTCCACAATCTAGAACCTGTTTCCTGCATTGCTGCTGTTTGAACACCTTATGAAGAATGTGAGATCTTCTCCCCCCAGTCCCACGTGTTCCACCTTTCCTTGGGGTGTAAGGCTCCAAGATAAGCCTACACAGACACTCCCTTTTTTCTTTCTAGCCATAATGTAACCATCATGAGCAAACTGCAGAAGGATAACTTTATTGCTAAACACTGCTGGGGGGGGTGGGGGGAGAGCAAACTGTTCTTGGAAATACCTGTCTGCAGCTCCCAGTTTAGCAAATAGACTTACAGCGTCTGCTTTAGAAGGCCCAGTAAAATTCCAGTGGCCCGCAGCGCTGTACACTCGTGTAATCTCTGCTCTGTACACCAAGTCTTGTGCAGCGTGCAGGCACCGACCACCCCAGCCTGGCTAGTACTCGCAGTATGGGGCCGCACTGGCTGAGTGCTACCCACGATGGAGAGCTGCGCGGAGGGCTCCTCTTGGAGAAACCAGTAACAGGGGGTCAGGGTTGTCTCTTGCTCTCATCTGTTTAGTCCTGTTTCCTTGAGCAGCAGCTGAAACACGCTGAGCGCACTCAAGCCGCCTCGGCTGCAATTGCCAATAGGGAACTCCCACCCCATCCCGACTCTTTGCTTCTCTTCAGGGTCCCAGAGACTCCTGCTTGCTCATTCCACCTGCTTGGCGCGCAGCCTCTGCCTGTGAGAACCGGTTAGTGGCAAGTGGAGTGGCCTACAGAGGTGAGCTTGAGTCTTAACCTCCCCTATCCCCCGTGACTTTCTGGGGGACTACCTGTTTTGTGCCCACACTTCCCATGGAGTTTGTCCTGCTCACTGACCTTTCATAACAAGCATTTGGGCAGGAATCCGACACCCTGTGTTGGAGGAAGGTCAAAGCAGCTGGGCTGCACCTGGCTGTCAAAATGCTGCTCAGCTGGCCAGAAGCAGAGACAAGTTGCAACATGGGAAAGTCCCAAGTCTGGTAATGGCTCCCAGGAGCCTATGGTGTGAATGCAGATGCCTGGGGAAGTCATTCTGCCCTTAGTCCTTAAGGGTGAATATCGGACACTGGCTGACACGCTGCTTGCACATATGTACAATGAGTCTGACAGCAATGCGGTACTAGTGAGTGCCTAGCATTCCCTCAACCCCATCTTCCACTTCCTGGCCGCTGTTTCCCCTAGGTCAGTAACCCTTCTGAACCCTAATAAGGCTTTCTCCAAGCGGAATCAGCCCTACTGTTCCTTGGTCCTAATTGTAAAGGGCCCCTATTGCCACCAGCTCCATAGTTCTCTCTAATATCATCTGCTTCCGGGAGGATTTGAGTGTCCACTCAGTCACCAGTACAGCAGTGTCCCTCCAATCCATCTCTGAGGACTGCCCCACCATAGGCCTGTATCTCAGCAGTTCTCGCAAATGAAGCTGTGGCAGGGCAAGCGTAGTAAGGCTGGCCAGCACCGTTCATCTTGCAGAGCGATCCCTGTCTGTCGCTAGGGCTCAGCTCCAAAGAGTCCTGCCACCTGAGGCGAAGGGGAACCAGTCAGCCTAGTATCCAGCTCAGGCAGTCCTGCCTAGTGCTCCTGCCCAGCCTCAAGATTTCTCAGGAAATCTTCATGTTCTACTGCTCTCCGCTTACTCCCTGGGTTCTGCCCTCCACATGAAGCTTCTCTGCCCCCCTGCACTGCTTACTGCTCCTCACCTAATGTCTGGTGTGTCCCCAAGATGACGCCCTTATGCCCTTCCTGAAAGTGCACCAGGAACAGCCCCCGGTCCCAGGAGTACTGCAGCTGTGGGCATTTTGGCCACTGTTTTCTCTCTTCTCAGAGTTCTTTATGCCACTTAGGGCACCTTGCAGTCTTGCACAAGTGGCTTAGCTAGTCTGTCTCCAGCTGTTCTTTTGACATGGAATTATGATTGGATTTGTTCAGTTGCCTTCCTCCAGGGTCTACCCCATCCAACAGTCCTGAGTCCCTCTGTCCTTGTAAGCTCCAGGTTAACCGCTGGAGACTGGCACCTCTCCTCCCCTCGGGATCTGGCATATTCAGGAGCAACACTGGCTAACTCACTGGCTCTGTAAGTAGCCTGTGCAGAGCAGCCGGATTGTGGGGTAGGGCTCCGGAGCTTCTTAAGATCGCTGAACCCAAATGTGGGATGGAAAATGCCTGTCTCCAGGCCAACGCAGGATTGTTCTGGAGTACAGCTCTCAGTGTGGGAACTGTGGTACCCCGCTGTGCCATCCTGGATCTTCTTGGGCCATCTAGTCAGTCTCCTGCTGCTGGCCAAGTCCAGAAGCAGGAGGGTTCCCATCCCTTCCCAAACTTCCGCTTGTCATAACTGGCTGAATGTCAATAGGGCATCTTTTATTCTAGCCTCCTCCTTCTCCATGCCCCAGTCTGAGGCCATCTGGTCCCTGCTCAGGGCCTCCTTTTGCACACCTGTTAGCAATTGCTGTTTGTGCCTGGGGAGGCTGGGTGCAAGTTGATGGTGAGCATAGGGACCAAGCCTAAGTAGCCACATGATGCCAGACTCTGTGTGCAGCAATGCCATCCCCTCTCCTTCAGCACCTTTCCCGTCAGCCCCAGGGCCAAGGGGTCACAGTCAGAGCAGGAACACCCGTGATTCCTGTGGTGCGGAGCGGGGTGGGGGGGCTCCCCCATGGACGAAGAACTGGCGCGTTTGGTTCTGACCTCAGCACTCCCACAGCCCCGGGTCCAGGTGGCATGTTGGGAGGGGCGCATCAGAAGTGGAAGGGGCAGTGGCAGGCTGTGCTCCAACTTTTCCTAGCAGGATTGGGGTCCCCAGGGTACTGATGCCAGCTGGTGCGGGTTAGGGTAACCCCCCAGGCTGCTCTGCCTGGGGCTGGGGCAGAGAATCAGGAACTGGAACTGCTGGTTGGTTTCACCTCTCCCGGGGGCTGCGTGGGGGTGGGGAGCCATCCAGTGCCGGAACCTGCCCTAGGCTCAGGCAGAGCTAGTCAAGCTCCTGCCCAGGTCTCCCTGTGGCTCCCTCAACCCAGCAGGGAAGCAGCTGAAAGAGCAGCCAGAGCTACCCTCCTCCCCCTGCAATGCAGCAGGTGACCAGCGGAGGAGCTGCTGAGCAGCTGCAGCAGGGAAGGGGCAGCAGATGCTGGGGGCACTCCCGGCCCATGTCAGAGCTGCTCCTGGGCTGAGGGGAGGCAACTGAGGGGGAGGCACTGCCCCCCAATAGCTACAGAGGTGATTAAAACACTTGGACGTAGAAATCTAAGTACAGCTAGGGAGCCCCTCCTTGTGACCAGTCTCCTGGCAAGTTGGAGTCTGGACACTAAGTGGTGCCCTGCTTGCCTGGAATGTGCTGAGCGGTGATGGAATCTTGCCATCAGCTGGCTGCCAGCTGGTGCCTGCTGAGCTTCCAGAGAGGCATATAATACATAGCTGCCAAAGGGGAAGAGACTCTGCTGGGCATGCTAGCACATAAAGGGTAGGGCAGCCTGCCCTCCATGGAGTGGGCCCTCATGCCACCACAGCTGGAAGGTGCTTTCTCCATTCTCAGACCTTGCTGGAAAGATGCAGGTGCCTCTGGGGTGTCATGCTGGCTCAGGCTAAAAACAGGAAGGGCAAGGCTGGTGTCGTGGGAGGAAAGTGGGGTGCCAGCCTATCGCCTGCTCTTACAGGCTAGCAGTAAGGTCCGCTCCTTGCCCCCATGGCTGCTATGATTAGGGCAGGGATCTCTGCTGCTTCCTGGCCTCTGTCTTTTGAGATCCCCTCCCTGTGAACAGTTCCGGTCACTGCTGCTTGGAGCAGGAGCCGAGATAATTGGATCAGGCTCTTTGCTTCCTCTGCTATCCAGAACGGCATTGGGGAAACTGACCAGAGATGCCTGTGGGCATGTTGGGGAGCCCGCCCTGCAGCGGGTCTCTCTAGGTTCTAGCCAGCAGTTTGGCCTGTGCAGGAAGTTGCTAATCTTCCCTTGGAAATTCCTGCTGGCTCCAGGCAAGGGCATTTTTGGGCTCTCATTGCGAAGGATTTGGCCATTCCCCCATTACTCAGTGGCCTCATCTTGCTGTTGGATAGGCCTGTGGTGCCTCAGATGCCTCCCTGGGGCTCTGTAGTTATATTCGTGGATGGGTCCTTTCCCAGCCTCGCTGTGGGTCCTGCCCATGATGGGGCAGTCGAGTGCCTGGGCAGAGACGAGGGTCCTGTGCTCTGAAGTCTCAGGCTTTTCTGTGGCGAATTGCCCTGGATGTGCATTTTCATCGTGCTGGCAGTCGCCGTGAGAAGGGGTGGAGGGAGCTGTTGGTGTCTCACTCTGGAGTTCAGGCCCCTCTGTAGCTGCACTCTGGGGTTGTGCTGGGGGTGGTGCAGTGCTATGGGAGCTGAGCCCCCTGTGGGTCGGGAGTCACTTCCTGATTTTTGGAGCAGGGGGGCTGCTCCCCTGTGTCCATGGAGGGGGAGTCCCAGATGACTGGGTTGCTGTAGTGCACTGCATGTGAGCCCCCGCCGCCAGAGCCATGCTTGGCGATCTGTTGGGGGAAAGGATGCTCCTTGCAGGGAGCTCTAAAGGTGATGCTGCTTCTGGCTGGGATTTGAAGATCGGGTTTGACCCAGAACCTGTTCGGTGCTCTGGGGCCTGGCTTGCTCTGAGGGCTTCCTCCCTGGCGGTACCATCACAGGCAAGGAGCCCATGCTAAGAGCGTGAGGCTCAGGGAGGGGGCTCTGGGCTGCACGTCCTGCTCCAGTTTGCTGTCTGCCCTTTAAATAGTGCTGTGAAGCTGGATCTGTGAGCAAGTCAGGGGTCACTTTGTAGGGCAGGTGCATCTTAAGTCAGGAGCAAAGTCATAGCATCTGTCCTGGTACTTTGCTGGCAGCGGCAGCAACCTGGCTGAGCCGGGGTGGGTAATGGTGGCTCGGTGGCCTGGTTCCCAATGACTCTCCTTCTTCTCCAGATGAAGATCTCTTTCAATGAGACAAGTCTGCAGACCACGTTCGAGTACCCTTCTGAGAGCTCGCTGGTGGAGGAGGAAGAGTCTTCTTCAGAAGCGGAGGACGATGAGGAGGACAAGCCCTCTTCCCTGTTCATTCCACGCCCGACCTGCACCATGCACACCAACGTGCCCAGCTCAGGTGAGCCGGGCAATCTGTCGCCAACCTGTTCCCGCTCCAGACCTGCCCTACGGATGGGCTGAGCTGGGAGTGCTGGCTCTTGGGGACTTGCCAGGGTTTAGGCAGCACACGCTTGGCGTAGGCTCTCTGCAGCCAGCCCAGCAGAACTGACCCCACTCCCAGATCAAGGCGGATTTGGGGAACAGGAATAGGCAAATGGCTGCAGGGCTCCTGAATTCCCTGTGAGCAGCGGAGCAGAAGTGGGCGTTAAAAGGAATTTAATGTGGACAAGCCCCAAATAGGGGGAGGGGAATCCCAAGCTCCTCCCACTTGAGATGGCCCTCTCGGTGGATTGTGCAGTGTCGGTGTTGCCTTGCTGGCTCCCCCTCTGAGCGTAACCGCAGGGACATCTGCAGAGGGGGCAGCTGCAGCCACTAGAGCCGGGGCAGAAGCTGCTCGACCCCACCCTAGGAGCCCAGGCCTCCACTAGCCCCTGTATGACCCCCTGACGGGAGCCTGGCAGTGAATCCTCTTCCCGTGTGCATGAGGCTGGGCTGGACCCTGCGGGTTGGATGACGCGACCCAGAGGAAATCCCCCTTTTGGGAGGGGAGCGGCTGGCTGGCTGCCGGAGTCCTGCTCTGGTCAGTAGCTCTGAAGCGTCTGTGTCTCCTCCGTGCAGGTTTCTCCAGCTACACTCCAAAGCACGCCGTGGAGTTCAGCAGGTGGCAGGAGCAGGAATACGAGGAGCAGCCTGCCAGTGCTGCCGGGCCCCCCCTGAAAGAGGCCAATGCCCCAGGGAACCAGGTCACGGTGAGCATTCAGAGCGAGGTGGGGGGCGTGCAGAGTCCCGTGCCCTCCTGGCTTGCCCAGTCCGTGGGCGGGGGCGGGGGGGGGGGGGGCACTGGGCAGGCAGAGGCAGGATGAACAGCCTTTCTTTTCTTTTCTTTTTTGGGGGGGGTGGGGGTGGAGGAAGGGTTCTGCTTTCCAGGAGGGGGAGACTGGGGAGGGGGGGCCACCTTGCAATCAGCAGACATGGTTCAGAGCAGTACTTTCCTGAGCCCACATACTGTGGTCCGGCTCCTGGCCTAGCGCTGGGGTGCAGGGGAGAGGGGGAGATCCTGCCACGCGGCATTGTGGAGCGGGGAGCCCACAGCGGAGCCAAGGGTCAGACAGGCTAGCAGATGCTTCCGCTGCAGCCAGTGGCCTCCTGCTGCCTGTATGCATAGGGGAGACTAATGCAGCTGCCAGCTTGCCTGCCTTCCTCTGGGGACTGATAAAGCACGTTCAGCACAGAAATGGGGCATGGCCATCAGTCACTGCCATCCCAAAGCATCGGCACTCCTGGCCATAGGACTTGCACGGCTTCCACTCCCCAGCTCCTCTCTTCTCTCCTGTAGCTTACCCCGGCCGATCAGAGTGGCCTCTCCGACTTCAGCAGTGAGCCTGCCCTGTACTTCTGACTCCTGGGCCATGCCACCTGCAGCACTCCTGCCCAGCAGGGAACCTGGCAGCTTTCCCTGTGTTCTGTTCTCAATGTCCTCGGATGCACTTCGTGGGATGGAGACTTTCTGAAGCACCACAGAAATGGGCTGCTGGCCCCAGCCACTCCACTTTGTCACGGGCCCTGCTGCCTGAGGGGGACTAGATGCCACTGGGTATTTTGGGAGAATATTTGCACTGGATTCTGGGGGACACCTGCTAGTTCCAAGGTAGCTGACATGTTCTGCCTGTGGCCTTACACATTCCTTCTTCAAGAGCAGCTGCCAATAGACTTCTGCGAATGACTTAATGAGAGCAAGTCTCTAGCCCCTTGGTACACCCAGAGTGGGCTCTAGAAAGGCTTGGAGACTCTCTTCTCAGTGGGGAAGCTCTGGTTGAAAGTCTCTGCTGTGTGAGCACCTGAGGCATCTCCGGGGTTGTCTGTGAATCAGGTTAGCAGTTGGACCCAGGAAAGCAGCTGTGGTCTGGGAGCTGCGTTGCAACAGGAGCCACTGCTGCCACTTTGGTGTTCAGCTTGGAGGCCGCTGGAGATGAATAGCGAAGTCCCAGCCCAAGCATATTTCTGGGCCTGATATGCAGCTGTTGTGGAGCCCGGTGAGTCGGCCTGGTTGGCTGAAAGCAGGGTACGCACATGGGGGGTGAAGCGTGGTAGGAGAATGGGCAAATTGTTCTCTGCTGCAGATCAGTAGGAGAATGATCAATAAAAGCTGGAGTGTCCCCAGCCTACAATGCTGGTTCGCTCCCTGTGGGCAGCTGAACCTGCATGACTTGGCCCCTTGAAAGAGTTCCCAAGCACTGGCGATAGCTTTGATCTTCCCTCACTCAGCTGTTGGTGTCTCAGCTCTAAGCACTGTGACTCCTGCTGTGATTTGCCTGTTCTCCACCTGGCTGTGGTTGGCTTCTGACCCCAAGTGCCAACGGCTGGGCCCAAGCCATGTCCAGTGCCTGTGCTCCTGGCCCCGGAGCAGGCCGCAGAATTGAGAACTGCCCTGTTAAACCTGCACCTGGCCTTTCTCATGCTTCTGTTCCAAAGTGCAAAAGGGCCATTTCTCTGCTTTCTTCCACAGGGGCCTGAACAAGAAATATGCTGTTCTCTGTGGGGTTTCTATAATTCGCCTTCACTAATTGGTAATGCAAGCCAATATGCAATGCCGTCTGCTAGGCTCTGTCACTGCTGGTGGACACATCTCTAGTACTGTAGACTCAAGGTCAGAATAGTGCGCTCTGTAAAAGACCAATGTTCGTGAACTGAACATTGCTGCTAATGTGACTTGTACTCCTGGGATTAAAGGAAATGTGGCCAGCATAGAGTTGGCCTCTTTGGGCATTGTGGATGGGATGGGCATTGTGGATGACCACCACCTCCTCCAAAGGACCAAGCTCGTGTCGTTCTGATTTAAATCTACTGATGTATTTGTTCGTTTGTCTGACGGTGTCCAATCAAGTTGTCTGTGATTGTGTCTGAATGGAGAATCTTTTGTATACCTTGCACTTACCTTGATAATAGCATATACAAAGCAGAAGGGGAGGGTGTGTCTATGTACCCTCTGGCATTCATGACCTAACTGGGAACTGCTTCTTCTGAAAACTCAACTGCTCCACTGACACTTTGCCAGGTTTGCTGGAGGAGCCCAGTACCCCCCCCCCCCAGCCCCCTTTGTGCCCTTGTAACACTTTGTGCTTCCAAATCGGATGAAAGGACCCATGTGACTCCCACGTGTGTTGTTGCCTGGTGATTTGTAGTACTTTGGAATTACAGAAATTCAGAAGAACTTTCTTGGTGGTTTGATAAATGGGATCCAATAAATATCATGGCAGTGAGCTCTCGGTGCTGATGGTTGTCCCTGCTAACCAGTGGTGAGGTGTTCAATGAAATACACTCTGTTGAGATAAGAGCAGGAACCCAAGAGATCCTCTTCATTCTCAGAAAGGGTATGGGGGCAGCATATGCTATTGCCAGTGCGGGGCCCCCTAAGCTTTTTAGGGGAAGAGGAATGGGAATTCTTACTGACTGCACCCCGGTCCAATTGCCAAACACTAAGCATGTTGATGTGCGTAGTAATTAGCCACCTGCTGTGCTGAGTGCAATGGACAAATGAGCCTTTCCCTATAGGCTTCCCACACAGTCACTCTTTATTGTGCGGAAAGGGGAGTCCCACTGAGAACTTGGACAGCATAAACTAGTGGTTTTCAAACTGGGGTATGTGAGCTCTCGCCAGGGGGTATACGAGAAAAATCCTGTACTGGGGAACAATGCATTTTCTTTAGTAAGACTTGTACCTATGGATAGATGGGCATATGCAGTAGACTGTTACTTGGAAAGGTGTATGCAGCCTAAAATGTTTGAAAACGACTGGCATAAATCAAACTACATTTAATCTGCAGTTACCAGGAGGTCTATAGGGCATGAGAGCGTGGCAGCAGCATTCCTAGTAGCCCACAGATGCTTGGCTGGAACCAGGCAGATCTTTCCGCCATGGACCAAAGTGTGACCCTGTTGAAATCGCGAGGGCGCAGGGAGCTTGTTCAAATGGAACCCCCTGGGGAGGTGCTTTCCTCCTATTCTGCTGCCCAGAGCAGTCCTGCTGGAGACCTTCCTCCTTGCTAATCCTTGGAACTTCCCCTAGAGCTGCAGTTCAGCAAAACCTCCAGCAAGGGGAAGGAAGTTGCTTAGTTGAATTTTAAGTTATTAACTCATTGAACTGGCCCTGACTCCTATTCTGACAGGGCCGGGAGCCATGTCAGCCAATCACCAGTGCTCTGCCCGTGACTTGCATGCTGCTGTTTTACAGGTACAAACAGATCTAGTGACTCCAATCTGGCTAGAGTACTCGGGGCAGATGCCCAGCTCGTGGTATGCAACTGCTCACGGCCTTGGCTGCATGACTAGTTCTCCCCCCACCCCACCCCCTGCCAAAGTCTTGTTTCAAGCAGGGCCCTGAGGCTACTATTACTTCTCGGTCTAGAGCAGGAGTTCTCAATCTTTTTATTTGAGGCCCTCCTCAAGATGCTATAAAAACTCCAGGGCCCAGCGGGGGAGGGGGTGACTTGGGGCTCCAGGGTGGGTGAGCCCTTGGGCATAGGCATAGTTTGACTTCTATTTGGGGGGGCAGGGGTTGGCGGGGCTTGGGCCAGCTCTGCACAGCAGGGTCCAGGAAGGCAGCACCACCTCCATCCCCTGACTCACCTCAGCAGGCCACCTAGCCTGTCTGGGTTGTGTGTGGTGGGGGTTCAGCTCAAAAAGTTTGAAAACTGCTCAGAATGCAGGGAGAGGGTAGCTAGGGCCTGTGTGCAGGCAGGGGGTAGCTCAGGGTGCAGGGAGGAGGTAGCTAGGGGATGTGTGGCGGGCTGGGGGGTAGCTCAGGGTGCAGGGAGGAGGTAGCTAGGGGATGTGTGCCTGGAGGGCTCCCCTGTGGTTGCTGCTCCCCAAGGGCTCTGCTGGCCACAGAGTGGTGTCCCCCTACCTGGGCAGCTCATAACAGCTGCATGAGCTGAGGAGCAGCCAAAACTGCAGGCACCAACAGCAGATGGGGAAATGCCATGGCTGCCTGCTCCAAGACACCAGCCAGGGCAGCAGCTGCCCACACTGCCCAACTCTGGTTTCCCTCCTCTGACCTGGCCAGGGGCTGGGGTCTTGAGAACAGGGACAGGAGGAAGAGGGGGGGTGGAGCTTCCCCTGGGACTGACCTGCTCTGGCACTGCAATGGGGGAGGCAACCAGTGCTCGGGGGTTTGAGGGCTCAGGGATTTCAGCCCCGTATTGGGGCTTGGGGATTTCAGCCGCATGGGGTCCTGCAGCCCCCCTGAAAGGGCTTATGGTCCTGCAGGGGGCTGCAGACCCCCAGTGGAGAACTGCTGGTCTAGACTTCATTCCTCTCCAGCAGGGCTGGGGGTCGTGATCTAGGGTCTCTTGGGAGGGGGAGGTGCTGCCTCCCCTGGGAGCTGCCATAGCTCTGAGTGCTTCTGCTCCCTGTCTTGAAGGGCTACCCTCCTAGCTCCAGGGTGTACTCTGCTGCTGGCACCTCCCAGCCAGCCCCAGCTTCTCCATCCCCTCCCTTCCTGCTGCATCGTGGGAACACAGTGTGCCCTGCTCCCTCCACTGCTCCTGTCAAAGCAAACCATCCACTGTCTTACGCCGGAGGGAATTTGGTGCATAAAAATTACATGCACAATATTTTAAAATTCTGCAAATTTTATTTGTCAATAAATAAATGTGGCTCCAGCATGGAACTGGGGAGCACAGACTGCTGCCTGCATGGAGGTGGGTCATCACCCTGAAGCCCTCACCTCCCCTAGTACAGGGACTTGGCAGTGAGGCTGCACCTAACCCTGACACAGTGAAAGGGCTGGGCCTGCCCCAGAAACACCCTGGGGCCCTGCCCCTCTGTGCCAGGTGCACAAGGTGTGGGTGGGCAAGCTCAGCCCAGCAGGATCCAAGTGTGGAAGGGCTTACTGTAGGGGAGATCCAGATGTGGGGTGAGAGGTTTCTGTGTGGGGCAATCTGTGTGCAGGCAGCTCAGTGGGAGATCTGGATGCACAGGGCTTACTGTGGAGTTCTGGGTGCAGGAACAATGGGACTCTGCAGGGGATCCAGGTGAAGGTGGTTGGGGCTCAGTGGGGGAGTCTGGGTGGCGGGCTTGTCAGAGGGGTCCAGGTGTAGCGGGGGGTAGGGCCTGTCAGGGTGAGGGTTCGATGGGCCTGCTTAACAGGGGAGCCCTAGCTGCTGCTGAGGGGACACTGCATGCCAGGCTCCAGCTTCCCCCTGCGATTCCCTTATTCCCTTTTCTTCTCTCTCTCACTCCTACATGCCCCTGCCCCTGCTCTATTCCACCCCCTTCCTTCCCTACTGTACTGCTTCTTCCCCCCAGCCGGCACTCACTGTTGCACAGAAAACAGGAAGGCTCCCAACACACACAAGGGGAACCCGACTGACACTAGGAGCGAGGAGGTGGCGTTCAGCTGCAGATTCAGCAAAGCCTAGAGGCAGCCTCCTTCAGCAGGGCAGCTCTGTGGGAGGGGGCAGTATCATGTAACCCTGTGCCTTGCTTTGCCTCTGGTTTGGGGGGGGGCAAATCTCCCCCAAAACTGCACCCATGGTCATCCCTACATCCACCCCCCATTTTCTGCAGGGAAGCACAGGAATTCTGCAGGGCGGTATTGTCTGCGGGCACGCAGTCGTGCAGAATCCCCCCAGGAGGAACTGTCTGAAGGGGAAAGTGCTGAAGTCCCAAGCTGCATTTCTTCCCAGGCCTGAGGCTGCTGCTTCTAGGCACAGTTGCACTTCCACAGCCTCATGACCCCATTAAGTGACACTTGTTACGCACCCATCCGGAGTTTTGCTGGATGGGGCTTGAACTGGAATGGATTCCCACCTGGCGCTGCAATAAACACTTACATTTGCAAAACAAAAGACTTTATTAGACATTGCTTCCACTCCAAGCCCTTAGATTAGAATACCAGCATGAGCCAGAGCACGAAGGTGCTGCAGCTCCCCAGAGTGACTGCCAGAATGTTTGAGTCCAAATGCTCAGCTCTCCTTTGTGATGCTACTTTTCAGTTCTGTGGCTCTGCTCAGATTCCCAGCTTCCTTCTTCAGGACATTGAGCAGCGTCTGGGAACTCTCCAGGATCTGGGAGGATGGGAAACAAGTTACTTCATTTTATGGAAACTGAACATTTCTCTTAGCCTGAGCTCGACTTTGAACAAGTTGCCAGTCAGTGAGTCTCCAGCACTCAAGAGCCTTTAACTCAAGCCTGGGGGTCTCTTCCTGAGAAATATGCTCTAGCTCAGACCCACATTCCAGGCTCAAGGCAGGAATCACTGGATGAATGTTCTCTGGCTGTGTTATGCAGGAGGTCAGACTAGATGGTCCCAATGGTCCCTTTTGGCCTTAGCATCTAGCAATATTAACAAAGGCAATTTGTTTAGAAACAGTTAAAAATGTAACTGGTGCAAACTGTCATTTATAGATGTTAAGGCCAGAAGTGACCCCTGATCATCCAATCTGACTTGCAGCATAACCCAGAGATTCCTGCATCAAACCAGTAACTTGGAGTTGAACTCGAATGTATTTGTTAGACATCCAATCTTAGACTCCAATGGCTACTGAAGTGTTTCATATGAACAGGAACAGCTTCAACAGGAGAAACAGAGCCCCGCTGTTCCTATGTCTCAGGGGCTAGGGCACTCTTCTGGGACATGGGCGATCCAACTTCAAGTCCCTGGTCTGATTCAGGCAGCATGGAGATTTAACCCAGCTCCCCTACAAACCGTGAGCACTCTAACCACAGAGCTAATGGGTTGAGAGCACTTCCTCCTCCTTGGTTTTTCCTGAGAAATGACTGACTTCTCTTTATTCACAGGCCGACCTAGTTAAAAAAAAAGTCATGCATAAAAATGTTAAATTTCCATTGTGATGAAATTTCTAAACATTTATTCCTCATTTTAATAATGCACGCTTCTGAGCACAAACAAAACCCTGATCCCACCTGCCCCACCAGCGTAATTGTCTTGATTTCAATATGTAACTGAGATTTGAGGCTGTGTCAGTGACAAAATACTTCCCAGGTCACTGCAAGTTATGTCCCTGTGACTGCTGGACAATTCTGAAAAGCCTGGCCCATGCCCTCCCTAGTCCAAAGTTTAATTTCTGTGCAAACTGATATGACTTGTCATTTCCATTTTGCAAGAGCTCCTTGAATAAGAAACTGCATTTGACTGGCTACAGATTACAAACATCTCTGATAACAAGCACCATATCCCTGTAACTGTTAGCCTGAGGGGTCATTACAGGTAGAAAGAAAGCTGTAGGAATAACCTACAATTCTGGCAGCCATGGGTGGATTCATACAAGCCTGGGAACACTCAGAGCTGGCCTTTCTGAGATGGCAGCTTTGAGTTCAGAAGGAAAAGAACGGAGCTATGCCAGCTCCAGAAGGCATGTTCTCCCACAGAAAGTGCAGAGTACCCCTTGCAGCTGTGTACAGCTCCCAGAAAGACCAGACAACAGCTAGCTCAACTACTGCTACCAAGCAGTTCTGATATATTTGGCCATTTTCCTGTTCTCAAATTGCCTGAGAAGCTAGATTTTCTGTAGATCTTTATTACTTATTTGATTTATGGTAGTGCCTAGAACTCCAGCCAAGGGTCACGGCCCTATTGTGCTAGATGTTCTGCAGACAGTCCATGACCCAGACAGCCCACAACGCACAGGACTGACAGGATGCAACAGGGGCTCACTAGTAGTTGTAATTGTTTTTAAAATAACTTGTGACAAAACATCAGCTGCGTTTGCAGAAAATGGCCTTTTTTGTTGTTTGCTCATACAGAAAATGCTCAGTAGACTTAGGGGTGATGTGGAGCATCAGTTTGCACAGATATGACACTTTTGGCCAAGGTGGGGCATGGCCCAGACTCTCCAGAACCGTCCCAACAGTCACAGGGATGGGGCTTGCAGAGATCTGCCAAGTATTTTGTCACTGACATCCCCAAATGTCAGTTACTTACTGAAATTCAGAGCCAATTACACTGTGTGGATGGGAGTTTTACCAGTGTCTCACCAAAGTGTGTTCTTAAAATAGGAATAACTATTGTAACAGAATCAACATTTCCATTTTCATGCATGAATTTTTCAAGCTTCAGCCTTTGAGGAAGGGGCTGGGAGAGGACAACCAGCTTCAGCCTGAGATTTGACAATGACACAAAAGGAGACAGCAAGGTGATGAAGCTAAGATAGCAGCAAGTAGCACCAGTCAGTGGAGACCAGAGGAGGAGGCACTGGTGTTCACCAGTGTGAGACTGAGAATATGCTCTAGAGGTCTCGTTAACCAGACAGAGCTCAGGACATGCAAGGCTGGGGCAGAAACACTTTTCATTATGCTCAGGAGTCAAATACCATGCTCAGTTTGCTTTATATATATAGGGCTTAACTGACAGTTGCAGAGAAGCTCAGCCCCCCACCAATGCCAGTGGCTAAGGAGAGGGCTGGGATTCCTAGTGGAACCCTCCCATGACCGACTCCACTCATCACCTCTAATAAGTGCCTGTTCCTGCTCTATCAGGTGGAAGGCAGAAGTAGCCCTCCTTTGCCACTCCTGGCTGCTCTCTGCGGGAGGGAAGAAGCAATCTTCCTCCTCTGCCCTCGTTATAAGCCTGCTGTTACTCTACCCCTTTGCCCCTCTCTGGTTTTGGGTGCCCTCTGTGTGAATACCAGTGTCCCAGCTTTCCCATTGGCCCAGATTATTCATATTTCCACCACTCCCCAGAGGGTGAGAAACCTTAGCCATGAAACTAACCAGAACCTAGTAATTTTCATCCTGTTGCCACCTTGGGGAGCTGGAGCAGAGGTACTGGAGTGATCTGTCTGCACACTCCAGCACACAGCCCTGGCATGGGGACTAGTTTAAAGCATATTGGTGAAGAACTCTTTTTAAAATGGAAGCTGAACTTCCGCAGCAGTAGATGGCACTGTTATTCATTATCAGGGTTATTCTGGTATGGTTGTAGCTAGAGGCCACCGGGAAGGAGGGATAGCTCAGTGGTTTGGGCATTGGCCTGCTAAACCCAGGGTTGTGAGCTCAGTCCTTCAGGGGGCCATTTAGGGATCTGGGGCAAAAATTGGGGATTGGTCCTGCTTTGAGCAGGGGGTTGGACTAGATGACCTCCTGAGGTCCCTTCCAACCCTGATATTCTATAAGGGGCCCCACTGTGCTAGGCACCAGCTGTAGAGTAAGTGAAGAGCAATAGGGAAAGGGCAGAATGCACAAGTGATGTGAGGCAGCAAATAGCACCTTAGTTCCCCCAGGTTTTTGGTTTGGTTTTGTTGTTCTAAACCTTCAGTTAGTGTTCTGAGGGGGAGGGGGAATAACTAAAAGGGAAAGACAAGGGAGGTGGGGAGGAAGAAGTCACTCCGTCATAGTACAGGGAATCCAGTGTGGGACTTTCATGCCATCATCAGCACCCCAGGTGCCTTCTTGAACCTGTCCTGCAGCTGCAGAGGCTTCACTCTCTAGTTGGCTCCTCCCTGCAGTCTCTCTCAAAGGCTACATGGTTGAGGTCAGGGGGAGGCTGCATGGGTACTAGTGACCTGGGGCGGGGGGGTCTGCAAAGTTCTGGGTCCAGGAGGTGCTGGAGGAGAGCAGTGGCGCAGGCTAAGCCCTATTTTACCTTCCCCTGCCTGACCCCACCATTGCAGAACTATCTGCTTCAACTGTTCTCTGCAGGCACTGCCCCTTGCCCCCAGCCCACACACTTGAAAAGAAAAGGGCCTCACTCACCCCTGTTGAGTAGGGTTTTCAAGTCTTGTCTTTTACAATGTTTGAGTATCTATGACAGCAGCAGAGTGCTGGTAACGGACACACCCAAAACTTCATTCACATTGGAGTGAAAGCTGCTGGTATGCAGCCCAGCCCGGTGCTCCTCACATCCTTCCAGAATGGGAGACTTCCATTCCCAAAACTCAAACACCTTAGCAGCAGGAAAGGCAGTTCAGGTGACAATTCCCACACAACACACCCAAAGAGCCTTAACTCTGCCTTGAGGTGTTCCTTAGGAAGATCACAGCACCTTACCCCTCCCTAAGCTTTTGCCTTGTGTGAGACAGCAGCAAGCACACCCTGGAGCCATGAGGCTGTCCTAAGTATAAGGAGGGTTCAAAGTACCATATGAGTAAGAGTCCTTATCCAGAGCTGTGCAGGGCCCAGAGACAATCACAGATTTTTCTAGGAATGGATAAGGCACTCTGAGCCATGCATAGAATGCCAGTGGGAGAAGGTGGTAGACAGGGATGAGAGAGAAACGCCTGCACAACACCCTGTACCCTAGGGGACTGTGCACTGGGGTTAGAGCCAGGAGCCTACATGTTCAATTCTCCTCTTCCACGGCATGCTGTTGCTATTTCTGTTCCCTTCAAAACCCTTACTATTGGCCAAGGCCCCATATCTCTTCCCTGAGGTAGACAGAGAGGTTACTTAACAGTAACTGTTGATCTTCAAGAGTTGCCCCTGTGCATTCACACTCATGGGATGGCACTCCCAGATGCAAGCTATGGAACCCTCCTCTAACTGGTATATAACGAAGAGGACAGGTCACCTGGGCACAGGTCTGGACTGTTCAATAAGCAGGGCACATGCAAACAATATGTGTTTTAATACGGCGAAATGTAAATGTACATAACTAGGAACAAAGCATGTCGGCCACACTTACAAGATAGGGAACTCTATCCTGGGAAGCAGTGACTCTGAAAAAGATTTGGGGGTTGTGGTGGATAATCAGCTGAACATCCTAGTGCGATGCAGTGGCCAAAAGGACTAATGCGATCCCTGGATGCGTGAAGAGGGGAATCTCAAGTAGGAGCAGAGAGGTTATTTTACCCTGTATTTGGCACAGGTACGACTGCTGCTGGAATCCTGTGTCCAGTTCTGGTGTCCACAATTCAAGAAGGATGGTGATAAATTGGAGAGGGTTCAGAGAAGAGCCATGAGATGATTAAAGGATTGGAAAACCTGCCTTAGAGTGATGAACGCAAGGGGTTGAATCTATTTAGCTTAAGAAAGAGGAAGTTAAGGAGTGACTTGATTACAGCTTTTAAGTACCTACACAGGGAACAAATAATCGAGGACAGGCTCTTCAGTCTAGCAGAGAAAGGTCTAACATGATCCAATATCTGGAGGTTGAAAACTAGACAAATTCAGACTGGAAATAAAGTGTAATTTTTTTACAGTGAGTAATTAACCACCAGATCAATTTACCAAGGGTTGTGGTGGATTCTCCATCACTAAAAATTTTTAAATCAAGACAATGTTTTTCTAAAAGCTCTGCTGTAAGGATGATTGTGTGGCAGTTCTCTGTCCTGTGTTATACAGGAGGTCAAAGTAGATGACCACAATGATCTCTTCTGGCCTTGGAATCTATGAAAGGTCCTCTGTCAGCCTGCTAAATTGTTCCAATGGTCAACGACCCTCACTGTAAAAAAGGTATGCCATATTCCCAGTCTGATGTTAGCTGCTGAAGCTAGACAAATTCAGACTGGTCAGGCAGTCCACATGTGGTGTGTTGTGCTGAATCTCGGTTACACCACATGGAAGGGTCTCAGATATTCCAGACTCAGCACCTGAGCCCCAAGCTGAGGTCAGTTCTGATACCATGGCTGGAATTGACAGCTTAGCCCCGCTTGCTGTAAGTTTCAGTGCAGAGGAAGGTTGTTCCCAGTGGTGCACAGAACTCTGGCCATCCAGAGGTTCAACAGCCATAAGAGCCTCTCCCATGAGGTGTGCCAGAGCCAGCAGTCCTGGTGGGGAGGTAAAAGCCTTATGGGTGGCACACCGGGCCAGGGAATGAGTTTTACAGGACAGAAAAGAAATTAAGCACTGGACACAGGCATCCAACTTGGGAGATCCGTGGGCACAATGCACATCTGTTATAACACTGCACAGAGTTGCTGGCTCCTTTAAGGGGAGTCTCAACCCAGGCTACCCAGGAGGAGCTAGTTTAAAGGGAAAAATACAGTTAATTGAATAAAGAACACCTGTGCCTCATAAACAATCATTGGAACTCAGCTGCAGAAAGGTGATGACAGAAAGAGAAACTCTCATAAGCAGAGGTGTGTTAGAGTCCACAGGAGGGCTGGGCAACCCCTGAGGCCCAGGGCAGAGATTGGATTTCAGGTTTATTTGTATTTAATAAAGTAGAACTGCAGCAGAGGAATTTCATCTCACACTCTCTTGGACTTTGTAGAGTTCTTAAGGGCCCTGAGAAAAGAGCAACTGAGGCAGGGAGTGCCTGCAGTGCCAACCCTAAGTCAGGAGGGGGTGCTACATGGTAGGTATGCCCTGCAACAAACACCTTTTGGGTGTCCAGCCCAGACGTAGTCCTAGTGATGGGGCAAGCCTGGAGGCTTGAACATTAAAAAGTTGGGGAAATCTCTCTTTTCCGAGACACTATAAAACCATACTATTTACCTAAGATCCAAACTAAAGTTATATGGACGTACACTTTTGGCAAACTAAGCCTAATGGGGTTAGGAAAGCAACAACCATGGCAGAGGGTTGCTTCTACTCTCTGTGTTGGTGATGATGGAGTGGAAGCAGTGAGGGATGACTTCCCTGGGAGGTGGGTGCACAGGAGCCCAAGGGATACGGCTTTCAGGAGGGTTCCATCTGCTCATCACTAGCGAGTAGTGGGAACACATGAGGCTCTCAAAGAAAGAAATCTGAGGTTGCACTAGGGCACTTCAGGTGGAGCTGGAAACATAACCCCAATCTCAAACCCCCAATTCTCACCCAACCTGCCTTTTGAAATGAATGTGCCAAGCCTGCTTATCCTGTCTGTCACTGTTATTCTAACCAACAGGCCACACTGCCCTGCCAGAACCAGGAGGAGAGGCCCAGGAATCCCAATTCCCAGTGTTCTAATGCTGACCAGCAAGCCACCCGCAACACAGTCAAGTGGCAGAGGGCAGTGGTATAGGTCTGAAGGTCCCATGTTCAAACTGTGCAGTGCCTGGTTTTTGCAAGTTTGAGTATTGTTTTTCTGGCAGCAGTAACCCTCTTTTGGGAGAGCTGTGGAGAAGCCTTAGCTGGAGCGTTTCCCAAGGTGGGAAGTGCCATACCCAAGAGGAAGGCCATGATGTGTGACAGTAAACTTAACTCACATTCGCAGAGCTGTTTGTAGGCCACAGCAGGATTTTGGCCGAGGAATGACTTGAACCTAGTTTAGCCCCAGCACAAAGCCCTGCTTTCCCCTGGCTCTCGATTGCAGTTTAGGGCTTGATCTAGACATGAGGCCTTACTAAGGGCAGACAGAGGCCCTGCCTCTGTGCTTTTGCAGTAACACACCAGCCCCCAGAGTGTAAGGGGCTGCCTTGGAGAAATCCAATCCCCCTGCCTCCAGAGGCCAGATACCTTTGTGTAGGCAGCCTCGGTCTCAGCAATGGTTTTCTCAAACTCGTTGCGGGTGGCCATCTTGCGAGCCAGGCTCTCGTTGACGCGGGCCAGTTTCTCCGTCAGGAGCCGGATGTCGTTTTGCAGCTTGTTCTTCTCCCCCTCCTCCTGCTGGATCTGATGGCTCAGCTCATCCCGCTTGGTGCACAGCTCCTCGATACCTAGGGCAAGGGGGCGAGTCAGGGCCACAGGCAGCTAAGGGCCCATCCCGCGAGCACACGCCGTGGGCGAGGCACGTCCTCCTGGGACACCGGCGGGGCAGGGCAACCCAGACCCTTCACCTTCCTTCTTCCCCACTTCGGGCATGTGCCATGGGCGAGGCACGTCCTCCTGGGACACCGGCGGGGCAGGGCAACCCAGACCCTTCACCTTCCTTCTTCCCCACTTCGGGCATGTGCCATGGGCGAGGCACGTCCTCCTGGGACACCGGCGGGGCAGGGCAACCCAGACCCTTCACCTTCCTTCTTCCCCACATCGTGCACGGGGCCCATCCCGCAAGCACGCGCCGTGGGCTTGGCATCCCTCGGGGCACCATCTGCGGGGCGGGGCGGGCAACCCAGGCCCCGATCCCAGCCCCAGCCCAGACTTTGCCGTGAGGCCTGGCCTGGCCTGGCCTGGCCCCACCACTCGATGTCCCTTGTAAGCGCTGGGTGCCCCCCACGGCCCGGCTCCCCCGCGCCCCGGCCGCGCTCACACTTGACCAGCTCGTTGTTGTAGCTCTGCAGCGCCGCCCCCTGCTGAGTCATCGCGGCCCCGGCCCCGGCCCCGGCCTCGGCCTCCAACGGCCCGCAGCGTCCGCCCCGCCCCGCCCCCGGCCTCCAACGGCCCGCAGCGCCCGCCCCCCTCCCGCGCCCGCCCCCGGCCTCCAACGGCCCGCAGCGTCCGCCCCCCTCCCGCGCCCCGCCCCGCCCCGCCCCCGGCCTCCAACGGCCCGCAGCGTCCGCCCCCCTCCCGCGCCCCGCCCCCGGCCTCCAACGGCCCGCAGCGTCCGCCCCCCTCCCGCGCCCCGCCCCGCCCCGCCCCCGGCCTCCAACGGCCCGCAGCGTCCGCCCCCTCCCGCGCCCCGCCCCGCCCCGCCCCCGGCCTCCAACGGCCCGCAGCGTCCGCCCCCTCCCGCGCCCCGCCCCCGGCCAACCCCTCCCCCCCTCCCCGCCCCGCCCCCGGCCTCCAACGGCCCGCAGCGCCCGCCCCCTCCCGCGCCCCCGGCCTCCGGCCTCCAACGGCCCGCAGCGTCCGCCCCGCCCCCCCCCGCCTCCCTCCGCTCCGCCCCCCGCCTCGCCCCGCGCCCCGCCCCGCCTCGCCTCGCTCCGCCCCGCGCCCCGGCCCCGGCCTCCGACGGCCCGCAGCGCCCGCCCCGCCCCGCCCCGCCGCGCGCCCCGCCCCGTCTCGCCTCACGTCCTCCAGGCGCGCGGGGCCGGATGGAGGCGGCGGGGCCTGGCCCGGAGCTCTCGGCGGCCTGGCACGCGCTGAGCACCGGCCTGGTGCCGCCCGCCGCCCTGGGGCTGGTGAGTGAGAGCGGCAGGGCCGGGGCCGGGGCCTCGGCCACCCAGCGCCCCGCCACCAGCCCCCGCCAGGCTCCCGGCCCCCCAGCCGTTTCCTGCAGGTCTCCTGTGCCCCCCGCCCCCCGGCATATCCATCCCTGCCCCCCTCCCAGCACCCCCCCCCACGAGCTCCCAGGCGGTGCCCGGCCCGGTGTGACTCTGGTGCTGGCCGGACCTCGCCCGAACCCCTTCGGTGCAGGGTGTGAGCGGGGCTGATGATCCGAGGGACGGGCCCGTTAGGAGGCTGCTCAGGGTCTAAGCTCCGGGGCGCAGGGAGGGGCTCTGTCTGTGCAGCACCCGGCACACTGGGGTCACTGCCTGTTTGGCCTCTTGATGGGACTGCAGTAGAAATGTTTCTTGTTAATAGCAGCCGAACAAGCCACTTCAGAAACTAGGAAATCTGGAGTTAAGCTTGCGCTTGTAATAGGGCCAAATATCCAGAGTTTGACAGGTCAGGTAACTAGACTGTCTTAACTCCGCTGGCCTACGCACGGCCACCTTCTTGTGCCATTGCTCCTGTCAGGGACAGTATCAGAAATACAGACCCCTGGTTTTCTCATTTGTGTCCTGTATTTGTTTCTAAGGTTTGCTACTGTACTGGCCTTGCCGCTTCTCGGAAATGCTGTAATTTCATGACCTGGGAGGTTTGCGCATGGAGCCATTGCTAGCTCATGGCTGATTGGTGGCACATAGGCTCATCAAGCCCCACCGTGGGAGCTCCTGAGCATCCTCAGCTCCTTGTGGGACTTTTTGGGGGTAATGTCCACTTTCACCATGCTGTTTACGTGTTTGTTATAGATGAGGAAGGTAGCCTGCCTTTCTATTTTTATTAGGGCATCACTTGGACAGCGGAGTTAAGGTAGTGCCTTTGGACCTGTTATAAGCACGGACTTAACTATGAATTTCCTGCGTCTCTAAATTTTGTTTATATTTTATTGTTCTTGAAAAGTGACAAACCAGAGAAATGGATGTCTGCCTGCATTCTAACAACATTTTTATGTGGGATCCTTAGTTTTTGTTCCTGCAAAGTCAAATAGCATGTCCACAGGCCTTGGGATCTCCACAGGAGTTCAGAGACTGCCCCTATTTTTAGAATCTTCTAATTTGGGAACCAATTCACTTTACATTTTCTAGAAAAATTCATCTTGTTTCTAAATCTAATGTGCCAGTTCTGAGGAAGGTCTGAGTATTTCTGCTGGTTTTAGAGGGGACATATAACAGAAACTTACATGCACCATTATTAATGCTGAATGGCTGCCGTTGTGGCTTCCTGCTCTTAGATAAATAGGCCAGTCAGCTTATGGCTTCCATGGCAGCTGCCAGCAAGGGGAGCAGTTGTTGCCATTCGCAGTGTTCATGCTTGTGATGTGGGCACCTTCCTATCAGGAGCAGTATTGAGACCCCAGCCGCTCCAAAGAGGGAACACCAAACAGCAGTTGGTTGTTAATCTACAGACACCCTGACACATGTGACCCAACTGCCTACGGGTGACAGGCTCCATTCATATCCTGCTCACTGTTCTCTGAAATGGTCTCTCTTCTGATTTGCAAAGTCCAGCTTTAGTAATTTTTTGGTGCCCATGCTTGTTTTAACTTGATGCCTCTCTTTAGGCAGCACCTAGATCCGGTTCAGTGGGGCTGCTGAAAGACAGTGATTTGCGGGCTGCTGTGGAAGTGCTGCAACGCTATGACTTGCACTCTGTCCTAGAAGAATGGTTCACTGAAGTTTTACAGACAGACCTTCAGGCAAATATAGCTCCTGAGTTCTGGAATTGTATTGGCCAGTATGAAAACACAGCCGAAGAACCCCAGTGCTCCTTGCTTCTCCTGGATGCGTTTTGTCTGCTCAAGTGCCGCCTAGACCCTTATCTAAACAGCTTGGACCTTCTGGAAAAATGGACCAAAATGGGCTTGCTCCTTGGAACAGGCTCCCAGATGTTACGAGAGAAAGTCTACACCATGTTCAAAGCCATCCTCTTCTTCACCACCACAAAGACTTTCCAGGAGATGATCCAGCAGTTCTACAGCCGCACCTTCAAGATTTACATGTGGCAGTGGAAGAAGGGTGAAGACAGAATGAACGAGTGCGAGAGCAGCATGAGTGAAAATGAACAAGAGAGTGACATGGAGGATGGAGGAGGAGACGGCCTGCAGTGCATGGGCTGCAGCAGTAAGAAAGAGCAGTGCTGGTGTCCCACAGCCATGGAGCAGTTTCAGCAGCTCAATGAAATCCTGTGCGTATCTTAAAAGGCGGGGTCTGTTAGACAGAATGAACACAATACCCGTGTAGGAGCCCATCAGCAGGCTACATAGATTTTTAAGGCCAGAAAGGACCTTTATGATCGAGTCTGACCTGGACAGCACAGACCAGAGACTCTCACTCAGTGGTGCTTTCATTAAGCCCATGATTTGTGGTTGAGCTAAGAGCATATTATTAGACGGACAGGTTCTGGTGATGGTGCGTGAGCATCCCTGGACACGGGCTTTGATTGGTGTACTTTAAAGGGAGAGTGTTTATAAGTGAAAGATTTCCTCCCCGCCCCAAAGTTAAGGTTCCTGAAGAAGTTGGTCACGTTTAATATGGAAAAACAGGAGTAGTACATCTGGTGGTACCAAGGGTGCAAAGCATAGTTGCCCTTCATTATTCCTCAGGGATGTTTGGAGAAAGGCCTGCATTGAGGGGTTGAAAAACAGTCCTGCTTGTTTCCCCATTAGAAATATCAGGTCTTACTGGCAGTGTCTGGCTGGAAGATGCTATAGGCGATTGGAGAACTAGTAGGGTTATACCATCACAGGAGAGAATAGGATTCTTAGTCTGTTTAAAATCTCTTGGTTTTTATTTTTGATGCTGATTTAATGTAAACTCCTGACAGGCCCCTGGGAGAAAAGATTGGCTAAAGAGCCCGCCTCGTCTCCCTTTGGTTGAGGGATGTGAAAGCTCCCATTCCAGTTCTCTGATCCTCGTTGCTGATAGGGAGCTACAGCTGGAGATTCTGTCGGTCCCTAAGATTACCCACAGAGGCATTAACAGAGTGTTAGATTTCTTTTTTTGTAAACACATACAGCCCCCAACTTTATGTAACGTTTTTTAAATTTTAAAAAAAACCAAAGACCAGGAAGGAATGAAAGGGCTAGGAATGTGATTCTTTACCTTTTCTGCCTGGTTGGGAATGGAAAAAACCCCTTTGTGTAATAAGTTTGGAAAGGAGTTTCTTCCTTGTAGCATTGTTTGATGAACTTTTTGATGATCAGAACCTGTGAAATGCTCAAAAGGCATTATTTTTGTTAAAAGTAACATTTAATTGTATAGAATATATGTATTTTGTCTCCAGATCTGCTTTTCCCCAATAGATTAGTATAACAATTTGATATGACTTGGACTATATCACGTTATACCATATCCTGTTGTTTGGAATTCATGAGTTTTATATTGTCCCACTAATTTTCTTTCCATTAATGTTTGATGTAAGTTTGGTTCCAGTTGCCCTATTTTCTAATTTTTTTCCCTTCCTAGTGGATAAAAACCCTTCCCAAATAACCACCCTGCTTATTGAGCAAACCCAATCCCCTTCAAGTCTGTGGCCCTGTTATCCAGCTAGACATTTATACAGTGCCGATCACCTTGGTATTTGAGCACCCAAGTACCGTACAATGTTGACATCTGACAGGGTTAGAAATGCTCCTCTGTCTATGCTGCTGTGTCTGTGTGGAGAGAGGCCAGTTCCTAATCTGACACCTGCTAGCCAATGTGCAGTACAGACCTCTACCCCTTCCCTCCCCTGAACCCAGTTACTTTACACTTTGTTTCACGCTTCCCTGTCTGCATGTTCTGAATGAGGCTGCTGTTTATGTCTGCAGTCACAGGCTGAACTTGCTGGAGAGAGTGAGTGCTAACGCTGTCACCACCATCCTGCACAAGATGATAGAGGAGAGGATGGAGCGCAGATGCAGGGGAGAATATGAGCGCTCTTTCCTGAATGAGTTCCAGGAGGTAAGGCCCACAGCAGCCAGGAGCTGTTCTGGTGGCGGCATGTGCTTATTTCTGTCACAAGGGTTGATGTCAAAATGAAACTCCTATTTGAAGAAATCCTAACTTGGCCTGCCAAGGCCCCCAAACCCCCTCC